GAGGAGGAGGAAGACACCAAAATAATTTCAAAATTTTAAAGACCTAATTTATCTTATGTTGATGAACTAGACAATGAAAAATCAACTTATAAATGAACATATAAAGTAGTTCCAACAAGGTAATAACCTACAAATGGATCAACAGTTTTCCCAAATGAGAAATCAGTTTCCTTGTTCATTCATTTAATCTATTACTTATTGAATGCTCAGTGATGGGAATTGTTTTAAGCTAGAGATTCAACAATAAATTAGATAAAGCCCCTGGCAACTTGGAGCTTACAGTCTGGTAGGGGAGACTGACTATAAAATAGTATAATTTCAGACAGTAAAAGAAAACAGTCAGAGGAGGAAGGAATGGGTGTGATCTCTGGGGAGAGGGTGGTCACTTCTGAACACCTTTGGCTTCCTATTACCTTTAGGAATATAAAATCCGAGTTCCTTTACTTCACCTATGAATGACCTATATATAAGAACTAGGGACTCTTTTTCTATGACCAAATGTAGCCTTTTCATGCCCATCCTCCTCATAACTCACATCCTCACTACCCTGAACTTGCTGTCTTACCCGAAGGTCTTGCTTCTCTCCACATCCCTGCATTCCCTACCCCCATTCTCACCACTCCCCTCCCCACCAAGACTCATATGTTCTACCACTCTCATTCACTTGACTTTTACTCATTTTTCAGACCTCAGCGTTTCCCTCCAGGAAGGCTGCCCTGGGTTCCCTTATATTTGGCCAAGTGCCACTTCTATGTTCTCTTATGGTACTGTGAACATCCTCTATCATGGTATTATCACTCAGCTGCATGGTGTTAAAGAATTTCTGTTTATATTCTTTGTCTCTCTCAGTAGGTTCTAAGGTTGACAAGATCAGGAACCAAATTATTTTCATTTTCCATTATCTTTCCCCACTTATATGCATTCCAGTGCATAATACAGTTTCTAGCAGAGTACATACTCAAAAAAAATATTTGCTTAATAATCAATAACCCCTGAACAATATTTGGTCTTCTCAGAAGAGATGCATTACAGTGCTCTCAAACCAGAACACAGCTAAAATGACTGTTCCTTAGCATCTACAGAATGCCACCAAGTTACATAAATCAACTAGATTACCCTTTACTCAGTCATTCATATTAGAGGGATACAGAGAAAAATCACAATGGTTCCCAGCCAAGTCTATTGTCTAGTTAAATAAGCCATTGCTAGAGCAGACAAGGCAGTGGTATAGAGGTGGGCACAAAAGGCTACAAAAGCGCAGAGGGGCATCTCACTAGTCTGTGGGAGAGGGCAGGGGAAGCATCCCGGGTAATGCTTAAGTTGTGCTGCATTTATTTTATTCATTAGGTATTTGGGGGGCATCTGTTTGCCACTATTCTAGACACTAGAGATGTAACACTGAACAAAACAAAGTCCCTAACCTCCCAAGGGTTATGTTCAAGTACACACAACAAACAAGGAAAAATACAGTATGACATTTGGAGATTCTTTAGGAGAAAAATAAGACAGGGAATGGGGGAGAGTAAGAAAGGTGAGAGGGTGCTATTTTATATAAGGCATTAAGTCAAAGAGGAAAGCCCTCACTGATAAGGTGACATTCCAGCAATATGAAAATAATGTCATAGGATTCCTGGGAGAAGAGTGGTTGAGGCAGAGGGAGCAGCAAGTTCACAGGCCTCAAGGCAGAACAGCATGTCTGAAGAGTAGCAAAAAGTGCAGTGGGGCTAGAAGACAACCAGAAAGCGAGAGAAGAATGAGGTCAGAAAGGTAGCTGCCAGATCATGTAAGATATAAGGACTTAAAGGCAGGACTACTACTAGCCCATTGGGCAGGTTACGGCAGGTTAGAAAAAAGTGCCTCTTTCTCTGGGCAGACTTGGAAGGAGGAGCAATGAGCTGAAGTGTGGCCTCAGTATTCCCGTGTTGGAACAACAGCCTCACTTACAGGCACTAGGCTTAACTATGAATGAGATAGAAGCCATTAAAGGGCTGTGTGTAAAGGAGTGACAGCTGACTTACATTTTTAAAGAATTGCTCTTGCTGCTCTGTGGAAATAAAGGCAAGATTTGCTGAGGATTAGATGTGGGTATGAGAGAGCAGTTAAGGATGACCATAAAGTTTTTAGCCTTAGTAACTGGAAAGATGGGAGATGGGAAAGGCAATTCCATGAGATCAGGAGTTTGGAGGTTGCCTATCAAGTTGTTGAGTACACAGCTAGATACGTGAAGCTGGAGCTCAGGTGGGTAGTCTGAGGTAAAGTATGTAAGTCATCTGCACATAAATGGTACACAAAAGTTATAAGATAGAATGAAAATTACCTGGAAAACAAACAAAGCAGAGGTCCAAGTATTGGACCTTGGGGATGCTCCAAAGTTTAGAGGTCTGGTAGATCAAGAGGAAGAAGTATTAAGAGCCTGGAAAAGAGTGTCCAGGGAGGTAGAAGTGAGAAGTGTAAACTGAAGTCTGGTGAAGAAAGTGTTTATGAGAAGAAAGTGATCAATTGTGTCAAAGGTTGCTGACAGATTGTGGGTAAAATTGCAATATTTTCAGAATCTCTTGTTTGGCCTTAGTGCATAGCCACATCAATAGGTGTTTCCAAGGGGTGGAGCAAAGTAGTCTATTTCCATATCAATAGGTGATTACAGGGCAGCAACGGTTTGGATAAAGTGAAGGTTCCTATGGCCAAGATTCTCACCTGGCCCTGGTTGGCTGGCTCACTACTCACATGTGGGCAGTACATTGTTATTGACTCTATATAAAGAGCTCCACCCAGTGCTCTGGGCGACAAGGTGGCACGGCTGCAAGGCTGCAGGAGAGCAAAGATGAGACTGGAGTGGTGGCAGCACCAAGGTCAGAGACTGACATCGTTGTGGGGGCAGAGGCCCAGAGGCGGAAACTGGCTTGCTGCATGCAGACTCTCTGAGTGGACAGGATTCTAGTGACTGACCTGCCACTGTGGGAATAAAGTTGGGTATAAACCCTTTCACCCCAAGAATGTTCCATTGTCATTTCTTCGGTCTTGTTGAATCCATAGTGAACTTGTCCGGGGCTGAAACTCACTGGCAAGGCAAATGGTATATCTGGACCAGAGAGGTTGGATGTGTCCCTTTTTTGCAGCCGGGTGATGAGAGACATGGGTAAGCAGAAGTGGACAACTGCTTGTGAGCAATAAACAGTTTCTCCCACTTTATTTCTCCCTTTGACAAATTTCGGTTTGAAAGGTAATTTGCCCCAGGTTGGGAAAAAGATTTTCCCCCTGTAGTTAACACAAATCAAGTACTAAATAACTACTAAATCTAGCACAAGTGCTATTTAACTGATACATTTGGTGGGGACAAAGCTTGACAGAGGTAGGTTCAAGTCAATAGAAAGGGAAGGATTGGTGACAATGCATATAGACAACTCCTTCAAGGAGTTTGATTGTAAAGGTGACTAGTAGGCAGATTATGGGAGGAAAAGTATTCCTGGAAAAGAAATGGATTCTTCAGAAGGGCCAAAGCATGAGATAGCATAACTCAGAAACTTCCATTAGCTCAGTTATTAAAGTGTAAAGCAAGTAATAGGTTGGCAGGTTAGGCTGTAAGAGAGGCAGAGGCTGACTATCATACTAAGGAACTTGGATTTTATCTTGAAGGTGAAGTAGAATACAGGAGACCCTGAACAACACGGTTATGGGCGCCAATCCCAACACAGTCAGATATCTGGGTGTAATTTCTGACTTCCCTAAAACTTAACTAGTAGTAGCCTATTGGTGACCAGAAGGTCAATTAACACATATTTTGTCTTCGTGTTACAACAAAGTAATCTTACAATAAGGTAGTGAAAAAAAAGGTTTTTCACCAAGGTCCCCCAAAATTTCCAATATCAAAATCTACTCGTAAGTGTACCCCCAAAGTTCAAATTCTTGTTGTTCAAGGGTCAACTGTAATGACATAATTATTTTTAATTTTTAGAATATTTTGGAAGCAAAAGTGAAGGTGGGTTGGAAAAAGAAAGATACAAATTAGATACTGAACCTTTCCAGAAGAAAATTAAGGAGTGCCTAAATCTGAGAATGGTGATGCTGAGTGGAGAGCACAGACAGATAAACAGAGGAGACATTAGGAGGGTACATTATACAGGATTCCGTCGTTTGTGCAGCGGAGAAAGGCCAGAGAGGGAGGGCGCAACTTGCTTCTAACGGTCCGAGTTCACCACCACTCCCAACGTCCAAACTTGTAAATTCTACAGCCAAATAAACATTCCACCACTCTTTCCCGTATGGATTCATTTTAAAATCTGAAAACAGATTTTCAACACCAAGCTCAGAACCTTCCTTAGGCTAGGAGAAACTCGAGGGTTGATGGCAAGAAGAGGCCACAGGGCGAGAAAAGGAGGAATCAAAGGTTTTGAAGGTACCACCTTTTTTTTTCAGTTTGTCTTGTTGCTACGGGAATTTCCTACTCTCGGAAGCCCACCGAGCGTCGGGTGGTAGACCGCAGGAGCTCCGCCCCTCGCTGTCTAGGTACACGAGAGAACCTAGTCCCGTCTTCTGCCCCGTAACTTCCTCCTATCATTTCCGACCCGTTTCTACCTTCCTCGAAGCCATTACGCCGCTTCAGCCTTCCTCCCTCCTCACCTCAATCCCTTCCTCCAAACTCCGGCTCCTGTGCTTGGAGACAGTAACTAGGGAACCGGAGGCCCGGATCTGCATCTTGGGACAAGTAGTCCCGGCTAAGGAAAGCAGCGGAAAACTACCATGCCCAGAAGACGCTTCCATTTCTTCCCTTTTCCTGGGTGAGGCGCCCCTCAGCCACACCGCCTTTTAAAGACCCTTTTAGCCACGTTGACTGTATGGGGCAAGTCTTTTAAATACATTTTTAAGTTGTAAGTCTACTACCTCAAGAGCATTCTGCAGGTTAAAGTGAGAAGCCCGGGTTAGAGAGAAGAGAAAGGAGGCTCACGACTGGGTCTGGCATGCAGCTGGACAGCCGCTGTGGCGACCGCCAGGCATCGGCATGGCCGCCTGGGAGGCGGGGCCTCGGGCGAGGGCGCGGGGAAACCCTGTGGGCCTGCGCAGCGCTCTTCCTTTCCGAGCCGCCATCTGCGGTGAGTGTGTTCACCGAGGCCGCGTGCTGTTTGGCGGCGCGTCCGTCTCCTCATCCGTGTCCCTAGGTCTAACCGGACCTTGCTTTTTCCTCAACCTCAGGTGGGGCGCCGCCAAGATGCAGATTTTCGTGAAAACCCTCACAGGGAAGACCATCACTCTCGAGGTACCAGCCAGGGGGTTTGAGGAAGCCAAGGCCTGAGTGAGGGCCTGAGGTGGATTTCGGGTCCGGCTCTGCTTGCGGTCTTGGAAAGTGCCTCTGAGTCTGCCATCTGAAACCTTGCCCGAAGCTGGGCTTTGTTTGCCGAGCGGGTCCTACGGCCGGTTCCCGATGCCCGAAGCCAGGGCTTGGGCCTCCGGTGGTTCCGGCCGGGTAGCCGGTGCAGGGGGGCCAGCGGCCTCGAAGCGCTGCTCCCCGCCGGGCGGACGCGAGCACGCGCGCCGGCCCCGAGCGGGTGAGGACGTGCTCCCCAGCTCAGCCACGAGAGGTTGCCTGCCCGCCGGCTGAGTGATCGGCTCTGGTGGGTGGGCTTCAGTGGTGACTTCCAAATTGAAGTGAGTGTTCTAGTTTCTCAGTGTGTTACCAGTGCATTTTCTTTTTAAAACTTTTAGGTTGAACCTTCGGATACAATAGAAAATGTAAAGGCCAAGATCCAGGATAAGGAAGGCAAGTAATATTTTCGAGTTCAGAAAATTCATTTATAGACGGTCCACCCTTATGTAAATAACCTCGTATCTGCTCTTTGTGGGGTGGGCACGGTTCTCACAGACAGAATTAATTTATTTGAGTAACACGAGACAAAGAAAAACGTTTATGAGCGTGGAGCTAAGCTGTCGTGCGTTTCAAATGTGTGAATTTGTCAGTTATTATCAACACCTGTTTCTTCATCAAAATGAAAACTAACAGATATTAAGTGTTCTTGATATTAAGGTTAAATACATAAACATTTAAAACTACACCTAACCTGTAGAAAGAACTCAGTAACAACTATTAGTACTATTTGTTTGTTTCCGGGTTACTTTGTAAATCTCCAGCAGATAAACTTGTTCTGCTGCCCTTGTTTGTTTTCACTAGGAATTCCTCCTGATCAGCAAAGACTGATCTTTGCTGGCAAACAGCTGGAAGATGGACGTACTTTGTCTGACTACAATATTCAAAAGGTCTGTTTGGAAGAAAGAGCGTTTTAAATAAAAGTATTTTGGAAACTTTGACCAATATGCAAAAGTGGGGGAAATAGTATTAGATAAGCAACATATTCCCAGGTGACTCCTACACAAACTTTTGAGAAACAGTTTCTCACATTCTAGATTTTGCAGAGTGCATCCGCTGGTGTAATTTGATGTGTTCTTTAATCTCTCTGTAAAATAGTAATTAAGAGTCAGACTACCCCCAAGGTTCTATTTATGTAATTGTATATTTCCTATCACATCCAATTATAAGATACCTGATGCTACTTATCAGTTCTTACTGAAGTGTAAGCTTAATCATTTTTAAAGCCTGCTTGTTCCTCTTACATTAATAGGAGTCCACTCTTCATCTTGTACTGAGACTTCGTGGTGGTGCTAAGAAAAGAAAGAAGAAGTCTTACACCACTCCCAAAAAGAATAAACATAAGAGAAAGAAGGTTAAGCTGGCTGTTCTGAAATATTATAAGGTGAATCTGCATGTTAAAATTTTTACATATAATGTTTTATTTGCATCTCTGGTTTCACACTCTCTTCAATATAGACGTTTTGCTCTTTTCCTCCCTGCTTAATTAGTATTTGAACAAGTTTTATATAATGGGGTTCCCTTATAACTGGTTCCAGCTAAGGTTCTGATTTTGAAGTCAGATCTGAGTTTCAGGTCTTAGCTCCATCCACCGCTTTAATGAACTCTGAACTTTTTTTGTTACAGTAATTACTTGTAAGGCTTTGGGGTGCTTTGGTTTAGAAGTATTAAAAATTACCAGTGTTGTGTGAATAAAATGTTAAAACATTTTGAGTTACTTAGATTGCAGGATGTCTTGTAAAATTATCTTAACAGCAGGTTTGTTCTTTTTAGGTGGATGAGAATGGCAAAATAAGTCGTCTTCGCCGGGAGTGCCCTTCAGATGAATGTGGTGCTGGAGTTTTTATGGCCAGCCACTTTGACAGACATTATTGTGGCAAATGTTGTCTAACCTATTGCTTCAACAAACCGGAAGACAAATAATTATATATGGGTTAATAAAAGACATGAACTAACATTAATTGTTGGAGTGGCTTTTATCATTAAATTGATCACTTTTAATAAACACTCTAAACTTTGGCAGGAGAATTCTATTTAATACCAGCTGTCTAGATATAAACCAGTTTTGTGTTTGATATTTACATCAGTACTACTTTGGACCAGATAATTTTTTGTTGTGTGGGTTCCCTGTGCATTATAGGATGGTGAATGGCATCCCTGGCTTTTACCCACTTGAGCCCCGCCCTAAAACGAAAAAGGGTAATCCAGACATTGCCAAATGACCTTTGGTGAAGAACTGGCCCCTTAGTTTGAGATTTGTAAGAATTGGTGTTAAGAGGCTACATAACTTATTTGTTATGTAAAAAACTTAAAGGCTAAGCTTTGTCAGTTCAGAAACATGGTGAGTGAGTCCCTGGCTGGTTTGGCTGGTATGTTTGCCATCTAGTACAAGGGAACATAATTGTCAATGTCAAGCGAAACTCAATTTAAACTAGTTTGCTAATACTGTTAACACTGAAAAAATAATTTTGAGCGGTATTTATTTGGTGCCATATTTTGCCCATGGAGCTTGATTCAGGGAGGATTGTTTCTCTTGATACAACTCTTACTTAAAACATGCACTTGAAGTTTATTAATAAACTGATCATTGTGTTTAGTGATACACCAATAATTACTCCCTTTTACCATATTCTTTCCACTCCAGTATTTCTAGTTGGAGGCATCCTTAGATAAGTTTTCCTACTTCTGTAGCATTTTGTCAAATTAGGTATGTGAGTGCTTGACAGACTAGAGTGTTTTTTTATCAGTAGTGGTGAATTCATAGTCAAACCATTTCTATAATAAAGCAATGTATTTAATAATTTTTAATATTTAAAATCCTGGATCCCAAGAAGTCTTGACTAGAACTTCCTTTTCTTCATAACAAACAATTTCATCTCCCACTTTAAATTCTACCTTTTCTTCATCCAGGCTGAGACCACAATCCATTCCAGTTTTGACAACTAAAATGTCATCTTTATGGTGTTTCAGTGAGGTTAATGAACCTTAAAAAACAGAAAACAATGTTCATATATTCAACAAATAAGTACCTATTGGCGCTACATAAATTCTAACGTTTTAAAATCCTGTCAAGAGAGAGAGACCTACATCGTACATTCAAAGGCAGATAAACTGCAGAGGACAGAACTGTGCTCAGGACTTGAAGCCATGATAAAAGACATTGCAGGCAAAAGTTCTAGTTAAGAAAGGTTGGAAATAAGTATGTAGTGAGTCTAGGAGACAGGGCTGTAAAGATAGTTTAGGGCCAATTTTTAGAAGCTTAAGAGTAAAAGACTGGGGGACTAAAATACCCAGAAGGGTCAGCAGTACTAGTAAGGGAGGGAGCCCAACTAGAGACCAATTAATGAGCAAGAAGGCAGGCCTGAACTCTTGATAGGAAGAGTGACAGATGAACAAACAGACTAGATGGTTACACGGCATCATGAGGTTTTGGTGACTGCATTTGATAACGTTTTGATGTTGCTTACCCTTCCAAATAATGTGTCCATTACGGATTAACTTAAATTTTTTTTGTTTTTCTAATTGTCCCTTTTGAACTCTGCAACCAGCCACAGGAACTTTTTTCTTCCCTTCTGTTACAGAGAAGGTAGCTAGTATAGAGGCCTCACCTTTAGGAAGAAGAAAACATTTAAGTGCACAGGAAATGAAAGATTCTGAGAAATAATTTCTGACATTGTGCAGGGCAAGAATTAAGAGGTGTGAGAAAAATACAAACTCATGGGTAGAAAGGTTTTCTCTGACTCCACTGACTTTATTTTCTTGACCAATATTAGAAATAAAAACATGAAAATCCTTGTGAATTCTTGGAAAAGAAAATCACAAAAATATACATGCTTACCAAGAGAATGAACAAAAGAAAACCACATGTTTTTGGTTGAGCAAGATGGACTAGAAGGTGATAAGTACAATTTCTGTCTGCTCCATGAAAAACCTGGTTTTCAGCTGTCCCTCTATATTTTCTAGAATATCTGTTACCTTACTTTTAATCTCACTACTGGTAATTTGTATCCACTTAATACTTATTCTGTAACTAAGCTTAATTTTTTCAATGACTGAAAATTAAATTCCAATAATGACATTGGTATATAGTATAATGTACTAATTTTCTGGGGTAAGTGTTATTTAATGCTTACTGCTAGGAACTCTCACATGACTCATAGTTTTCCAAATTTCTCTTAACATAGGAACATAACATCTCTATGATCATGTTTAGGTCAGAAAAGCCTAACATAAATCTACTGTGGACCAAAATGCAAACACTGAAACTCATTCTGAGGAAACATCAGACAAATCCAAATTAAAATACATTCTGCAGTCACAATTCAAAACAAGAAAGACTAAGAACTAAATGTAATCTATGATCCTGGACTGGGGGGAAGATATCTATAAAGTATATTATTAGGAAAATGGATAAAATTTGAATATGGTCTGTGGCTTAGATTACAATATTAATGTTAAATTTCCTGAGTTTTGATATTTGTTCTGTGGTTTTATAAGAGAACATCACTGTGCTTAAGAATGCAAGTATTTAGTGGCAAATGGACACAATATCTGTTACTTAAAAAAAGGTGTGTGTGTGTGTGTCTGTCTGTCAAGTGGGACAGGCATAAAACAAATAGGGCAAAATGTAAACTGGTAAACCTGGCATGGGAGGCAGTCCCTTATACTTGTAATTTTTCTGGAAATTTAAAACTGTCATCAAAATAGTTAAAAAAATGTGTGGGGAGGAAAAAGCAGGTAAAATGATTCAGTCCATCTTTAATAAATTTAGCCTTTAATCAGGCCAAACGATATGCTAGAAGAATATTTTCAAATATTTAATTTAAATGTAAATTTTCTTCTCATGGCAGATTTCCCTTTCAGCTCCAGGACAAAAATCAATGGCTCCTTTTACGACACTGAATAATCTTTATGCCTCTGTTTCCAATGTAATTTGTATTACAATTAGTTGTTCATGTATGAACTTCAGGGCAAATTCTTACTGCCTTAGTTGCCTTTGCATCCTCAGGACCTAAGTACAAAGTGTCGCAGAGGCAGGTGTTTATAATACACATGAACTTACAACTGAGTTCTTATAGTAGTTATTTTTTCTAGAACACCGGATATGTATTGGAATAGTCAATGTATTTCAACAATTAAATATACTTCTCTCATATTTGCCTTCAAGTGTTACTTATAGCACCTAAGATATGAATGTTTAGAGCTAACATTCAGCACTTACCTATTGGGTCCTCTTTCACACTGGGGGGCAACCTACTGCCCAGTTCTTCCTGCAAATCTTCAATAAGATGGTAAATGATTTTGTGAAGTTTAATTTTTACTCCTTTTTTTGCAGCTAATTGTTGGATAACACTGCTTGCACTCACACCAAAGCCATATATAACACCTGGCAAGCAAAAATACTGCATTACACCATTTGTCTTTAGAGCAGAAACTCAAATCTAAATTGTTTTATTTCCTTCTATGTAAATTAAAAACAAAGTAGGGAAGATGAGAAATTCTATAATTTTTTCTCATGAAAAATAGTAAATTTTCAAATTAATTAGAAGATTTTATAAATTCTATTGTGGTTGTTTAACAAGGAAAATTTACGATATTTAAATCTACTCATTTAGGAAGTATTATTTTAAGTGCTATAATGTGCAAGGCAGCATGCTAAACTAAGCTCGGTTTTTACCAGAGAAGTAAGAAAATAAAAAATGATTAGGGCTGAATATTAATTATTTTAATAAAAATTCTGTTATTAAATTATAATCTTATTGTCTATTTTTGTCAAATTTTTTTGGTTACAGATATTCAGTTGGCTAAAAGATGCTCAAAAATAGTTATTTGATCTGTAAAGTTCAAGAGTTATCCAAAAAATGAAACAAGTTCCATGGAGCTGACCACTTTACCAAAGAACAAATAATGTATTTAAATGCAAATACCTTGGGGGAATAAAAAGCAAAAGCAAATATTTGTACCTTAAACAATGCAAACAGCTTAAATGAAGAGAAAAACACAACCACCTTCAAAGTCTTATTTATAATCATCTAATACAGTACCTACATTACATAGTATAGTGCTATGCCAGTTAGTGCCTATAAAATACTTTGAATTAACCAGCATTTTTGAAAATACCTTTCAGTGGTAGAGATTAACATCTAATTTTACTCAAGGTAGGTCATGAAGTATTTGCTTCCTAAATGATTCATTAATCACTCAGTAATTTTGGTGCTTTGCTAGATGTTTGACTAAAGTGGCAGTTATGAGTCCCCTCTCTTGAGTATCATAACTTGACTAATGAACAGTCCTCCTGCCTTCTACACATTTTAAACAAAAAGGAGCTTTTGCTCAAAGAAAGATAGAATTTGTAAAACTACCAGTGAAAAATGGGTATCCAAAAAAAAGACAAAAGAAAGCACTGTATAGGCTGATTATGGTGTTAGGAGAATTCAAAAGTCTAAGTGAAAGACCCAACTGTGGATTAAGTGGGGAAGTGGGAGGAATGGGGAATGGGAGCAGTACCAAGAAAAAACTGAGACTTGAAATAGTTTCCCAAAGTTGCAGTACAATGACAAAGGGAGCTATGGCTGCAAAACTGCACATCCCATCAGCCCTAATTGCTAGCTTGGACTCCAATACAACAGGAAGGAAGAGGCTGTGAGGGTAAATGTCAGATATGACTAGCCAAGCAACAAAAGACAGAAGCCAAATGGTTTACAATGTATTCTAGAGAAAAAGTTAAACAAATAGGAAATGGAATTCTTACCACAAAATGTTTCAGCAAGGTTAACATCATTTTCACTAATATCACCCACACCAAAATGTACTAATTCAAGTTCACACTCATGTGACGCATCATAGGTTTCCATAATGTCCAAAATGGCCTCAACTGAACCATCAACATCACCTAAATGCAGCAAAAGTTTAAAATTGTTGGTGTTAACAGTTAAATATGAACAGACAAAAATGACAATAGTCTTTTGGAATGGCATAGTAGGAATGGCACTTATCATTAAGTCCACTTTTATTTAGGTTTAGCATTATAAATATCTATTCAACTTAATCAAGTATAATGAACCAAACATACATTTACAACAAAATAAAAAAAAAAAATGTTTACTAAGAAAATTTTCCCCAGTTGCGGATGGGTAAAAAGGGTGAAAGGTGCTAAAAGGTAAAACTTACAGTTCTAAAGTCAGTGATTCCTGGGGATTAATGTAATGTACAGCATGGTGACTATAGTTAATAATACTGTGCTGCACATTTGAAAGTTGCTGAGAGTAGATCTGAAAAGTTTTCATCACAAGAAAAAAAATTTTGTAATTGTGTATGGTGATGGATATTAATTAGACTTACTGTGTTGATCATTTTGCAATATATACAAATATTGAATCATGCTGTACCTCTCAAATGAATGTAATATTACATGTCAATTATACTTCAATTAAAAAAAAACTCCCCCAAAATACATAAATAATTCTGGCTTATATTTAAAGCCCAAATTAATTGTGAGAATAAAGAAATACATAAATTCCAAAAATGTGTTGTTGAAGTGAAATATTTAAAAAGTCACCTTTAATAATTATAGGAAGTACCCTTAAGTCTCTTTCTGCTTTCTTTTTTGGCTTTAAGGATTTTTGTTCCTTTCTTTCTTGGTACTTTATAAATGATCTTTCCTTCCAGGACAAAGTGCCATACTTCTCACGGGCTTTCTGATGAGCTTCTTGGTGTTCCTTCCGCTTTTCTTCTATGATTTTCAAATCCTCTTTATTTTTCTCCTGTTCTTGTTCATACTTCCTCCAGTGAACAACTTCACGTGCCCTTGACTTAACAGGGGAAAAAAATGGACATTATTTAACAAAACAGAAACCAGTAATTGCTGAGTTAAAAGCTTTGTATTTTTCCTCCATTTAGCTTAGCTTAACTCATATATGAAACTGATTATTTTAAGTTTCAAGAAACTTATCTAACTTTAGAGGCTTAATGTATGATTGAAATTATTTAAAATTTTTTCTCACATTTAAAAAAATTCAATAGCCAAATTCTAAAATGGTACTGGCCCCTTATAGGCTAGAATTACTTTTTAACATTAATATACTTATTTAGCATAACAATAAAGATTGGTATTTAAAATCATTATATTATATCTAATGAATAGGAATTAAATGTGATATACCTCAGATTCTACTTCAAGAATGTCATCTCCTGCAGAAGGTAGGTCTCTCCAGCCTATAATTCCCACTGGCATGCTGGGACAGGCCTCATTGATTGTTTTTCCATTTTCATCAAACATTAAGCGTACTTTTGCCCAACTCCTTCCAGCAACCAGAATTGAGCCTTTTCTCAAAGTTCCTCTTTGAATTAAAGCTGTGGTAACAGGACTAAAAGGAAAATAAGAGTATGTATTCTTAATGTCCTAACTGAGATGTAATGGCATTTTCTTAAGTAAAGCAAAGGTATCTTTATGAGATTTAAATATATACAATGTACACACAGGGTTATTAACTCCACCACCTCTCAATTCTCAGTTTTTCACACTACAAAAACATTTTTTCACTATTGCCAAAAGGTGCCATAATGTTATGTTATCTTTACCATTAAAAAAATAAAATAAAATTTCTTATAAGGTTATGTTAGTCGAGGGTACAGATAGCTGAGTAGGTTCTAACAGAATCTTAATCCCCTTTTTGGCAGAAGAATGTCTACTGATACAAGAATGGGTAGAGAAAATGCTGTATATACAATGGAATGTTATGCGACCTTAAAAAAAGAAGGAAATCCTATTACATGCTACAACATGGATGAGCCTCAAGGACATTATACTAAATGAAATAAGCTGGTTAAGAAGGACAAATACCATATGATTCCATTCATCTTAAGTATCTAAAGTAGTCAAAATTATAGAAAAAGAAATAGAAAGGAAGTTGCCAAGGGCTAAGAGGGAAAGTGAGGGGGAAATTAGTGTTTCATGAGTAGAATTTGTTTTGTAAATGAAAAAGTTCTAAAGATCTGTTGCACAACAATATGAATATACTTAATACTACTGAACTCTACATTTAAAACTGGTTAAGATGGTAAATTTAATGTTATGTGTCTTTACCATTAAGAAAAATTTTCTTGTAAGGTTACGGTAGTAGAGGGTTCAGATAGCTGAGTAGGTTCTGAGAATCCCAGTCCCCTTTCTATAATTTAATTGTTAAGCAGTGAGAAGACCTCTTCTGCTGATAGGGAGGGAAAATTAAAGAAGAGAAAACCATTCCAAAGAACCTCCTATATATTATATTAATGGATAAGGAAATAAAGAACTTAGAAACATAAAATACAACAACTGCTATTTCATTCCAATTTATGTTCATCTATGAGGCTTTTACCAATCCCGTTAAGTCAATGAGGGGAAAAAAATCAAACAGATTGAATTACATAAGCCATCTAAGTATGACTACTGGATGTATACAGACAGTTGCTACAGTCTACTAATTACTGCATTTTGTGTTCTGTATGCTAGTGTAAAAAAAATACTTTTTGAAACAAATGCTTTGAAAATATTGTTCATGGGCTAACAATAACATACAATAAAAATAATGTCATATAATCAAGTCACAAAAACAATAGAACAAAATTATTAAAAAGCAAGCATTTTAACAGTCCTACCCTCTTCCTTTGTCCGTGAAAGATTCTATTACTGCTCCTTCCACTGGACCAGTGGGGTCTGCTTTCAATTCTAATATTTCTGCAAGGGCAATTGTTGCCTCTGCCAAAGCCATCAGATTATTGCCCTTTAACAACAACAAAAAGTTATTAATATACATTAATAAATATTATTTGTAAATATAAATACCAGGGTCAGAAAGCCAAACAATCCTTGACAGTTATATTTTTCTCTTTAAGCATTAAGAGCATGAGAGTTAGAAGGAAAGAAAGAAGGCAGGAAGAGATAAGCAAGAAAGCCTGATCCAGGAACAGATCTTGCAAGGAGCAGTGGCAAAGGATGGCCACTAGTGATGCTTGTCAGTAACCTTTCAGAACACATGCTTCATTCCTCTCTCTCTCCTCTGTCTCTACAATTGTGTTTTCTTTCTGTTACTTCCTTTCATGCTACTTTACATTTGAAGTTCTATCCAACTGAACAAGCTTCCACATCTGTTAGTTAATTTGATCCAACTCAAGAATCCTGGTAAAGTAAGTTATATCAAACATTACTTACTTTTATTAAATAAATAAAGAGAAAAAGCACTGACTAGACCCAGGCTTTAAGCCACACTCTTTAACCACCTAGCTGTGCAACCTTGAAAAATCATTTCATCTACCTTGATATCCTTTTCTCAACTGTAAAATGAAGGAGGTAGATTGGATGATTCTTTCACTTTTAATGACCCAGGTTTACTATGCTTTGTAGGGCTCCAAGATAACACAGCTGATAACAACTAGTGATGGAAAGGAAACTGATGGGCAAAGAATTTTTCCATTTACCATGTCAGTTAAGAGATTGCTCACAACTGTTAAGAGTATAAAACAACAGAGACAACTGTAAACAAAACCGACTAAATACTTGCTTACCCATGGGCTTTTTTTTTTTTACCTATTCCTAGTATATATTACAATTTATAAAATGCTGCTGTGAAGAGCAGAGCTGGGATTGTTCCTTTGCATGAAGTAGTCCATTATCTCTGCCTTGGGTAAGACAGCCTCATCTTACTTCCCTGCCATTGTCTCCTAACTCTCTCCATTCCCAGGAATCATCTCTGCCATGTCTCCAAATTTCCCTAAGCAGCTTTACTATCTATTCATCTGATGGTACCTGGACAGAAAAGGTGGCCATGTCTTCAAATGTTTAATTTGACCATACAGCTTTCAGAGTGCAACAGCAATCAAGGTATAGCAGAAAGATAACAAAGTAAGGTGGCATTTTATGAATTTCAGAGGAAAAAAGGCATGGCTAGCATGTTAGGGGTAACAAACTTAGGAAAAGCAAGAAAAAAAAATGAGCCAATTACAGGAAGGAAACAAAAGTACCATCTCTTCAGTGAATGATCAGGGGGAAAATTCTGTATTATGAATAAACCATGAAATATGATAAGAATGGAACAAAGAAAGAAAATTGTACTTAGCAGCAAACTGTATAGAAGAGAACTGGAAAATGCTATTACAACACAGATAATGAGCACTCTTGGTGTTTTTCAACCAAAAGAGAATAATTGGTAATTTAAAAGATAATGGAATTCATCATTAATAACATTATGAGACCTAGAACAATTTAATTCATAGAAACATTAAGTCCATCAATAACAAACTGAACCCAAATGGTTCATCTTTGTATTAATGAAATTTTTGTTTAAATCTCTATTAAATGCCCAAGACCTATTCCATTGTTTTTCACTATAAAAACAAGCACTTTTTATTACCAACTGTATTTCATTTCTTCTTAAAACTGTCTTTAGCCTACTATTACCCTATCTTCACATCAGTCACCATTTATTCCCCTCATTCTAAGTATCTCATAATAAGAATAGCATTAGGTTTAGACTCGACATCCCAATGAAAGCTATGTAATCCTGGATTGGTAACTGACCTTTCTGAGCCTAATTGCTAATCTATTAAACCAGGATAATGATTCCAGTTTTGCACCCAGAGAATTTTTAAACAACAGAAATGATGTATGCCAGAATATTCTTCAAGCACAATGAACTACTTGCACTATGTACAGCAATCCCATCTGAACAAATCATCTCCGAGGTGCCTGCATTTACCGTAAGTGCAGAGATGTGCACTGCTTGAATGTCGCCTCCATAATCCTCACACACCACATCATAAGCTAGCAGTTCTTTTTTCACTTTTTCAGGATCAGCCTCAGCTTTGTCACATTTGTTTATGGCAAGGACAATAGGAACTGAAAGAGACAGAGTTATAAGGAGTGCAAATGACTTCAATTACACCTTCAATTACAGGTATTCACAAGGAGGACACCAACCTTTTCTGGCTTTCTTTTTATTCAGTGAATGTACTTAGATAACAAAAGACCTAAAAACACATACTTTAGTCCCACCCTTCTCTGCTTTCTATGTGTAAAGGAAGAATCTCAGATGGGATATGTCAACACTGTAATTATAAGCAGATTCTGAAATAGGAATAGGCACCTCAGATAATTTTTTTAAAAAACAGTATCATGGTGGGGAGACAGGATTAAAGATGGAGGCATGAGAGGTGAGACAGAGGCTTCCTCCTAAAACCGCATATAATATGAAAATATAACTAATACAACTAATCCTGAAAGAGCAACAGGAAAGAGGGCTAAGCCAGACTGCATACAGCTGAAGAAAAGAATAAACTTCTCGGAACAGGACAATGTACCAAAGCTGTGGCCCGGTGGAACACAAGCCCTTCCCCCACCCCAGCTCACTAGTGGGAGGAAGAGAAATGGAATGGGGAGAGAGCGGAGGCCTGGAACTGCTGAACACCTAACTCTGGGGATCTGCTCTGGGAGCACAAACTTACATTTCATGGTGTTCTCATGATTAGGGGGGTTGCAAAGCTAAGACAGGCAGAATACCTGGAGAGACTGAGATTCCAGCCACTTGTGGAAAAGAGGGATCCATAAACAGCTGCCTCTGGGACAAAAGAAAGGCGGGCAGTCTGAGAGACTTCCTAATAGTGAGAGGGCTGCTAAAGGGGGAAGGATTGCACAGAGCTTACTGCTCAGAAGAAAGGACAGGTAGACAAAATTGTGCCAGTGCACTCTGCCCAACAGGTTGGGAACTTTCATGATCTTCCTGTGCTCCATCCCCCTGGCTGGCTACGCAGCTCCAAGGCCCCCCTCCATGATACACAGCCTGCTGCACCTTCCTCCTGGCCAGTCCCACCTGGCTCGCAAACTGGCAAACCCTACCATGGCATTAGGCCAGCCAGAGGGATGCCCCGCCTACAGCAGCTACAGCAAAGCATAGAGGCTTATACCTGTGTGCTTGGCCCACTGGTTCTGACAGTGGAGACAGGTATAGCAGCTGGGAAGCAGAAAACAGCTCTTTCCTTCCCCCAGGGAGCAACACTGCTCCCCTGCGACCCCCAACATTGCTTCAGGGGCTGAGCAGCTCCAGAGAGTAGAGCTTCTGGGCACTAGAGGGCACCACATACAAATATGAAATGTCAAACAAACCGGGTTCAAAGCAAAATTATGAATACACCAGAGTAAGATTCAAATGAAATCAACCTCATGAATCTTCCTGAAAGAGATTTCAAAATAAAAATCACTAACATGCTCATGGAGAAACAGAAAAATATTTAAGAACTCAGGACTGATTCCAGTCGGAGATCCAATCACTACAGAACACAGGATGAGAAATGAAACATACAATGGAAGGTTTTAAAAGACGGTTAGATATGGTGGAGGAGACAAGAACTGAAACAGAAATTAGAGAAGAGGAATTCAAAGAAGTTGAGGCACAGAGAGAAAAAAGGATCTCTAAGAATGAAAGAATATTGAGAGAAATGTGTAGCCAATCCAAACGGAACAATATTCGCAGGGGTACCAGCAGAAGAAGACAGAGAAAAAGGGATAGAAAGTGTCTTTGAAGAGGTAATTGCTGAAAACTTCCCCAATCTGGCCATAGAGGTGCACAAATCTCCCAACACAAGGGAACCAAGGAAGACAACACCAAGACATATGACAATTAAAATGGCAAAGATCAAGGATAAGGACAGACTATTAAAAGCAACCAGAGAGAGAAATAAGATCACATACAAAGGAAAACCCATCAGGCTATTATCAGACTTCTCACCAGAAACGTTACAGGCCAGAAGGGAGTGGCATGATGTAGTTAATGCAATAAAGCAGAAGGGCCTCGAACCAACAATACTTTATCCGGCAAGATTATCATTTAAATTTGAAGGAGGGATTAAACAATTTCCAGATAAGCAAAAGCTGACAGAATTTACCTCCCAAAAACCATCTCTACAGTGTATTTTGGAGGGACTCCTATATATGGAAGTGTTCCTAAGGTTTAATAGCTGTCATAATAAAATCACAGTAAAGAAAGTAGAACAATTTATTACTAAGCAAATGCAAAATTAAATCAACTACTGCCACAGTCAATCAAGGGGTAGACAAAGAGTATATACCTAATACATAAAGAATGGAGGAGGAAGAAAAAGGAGGAGGAAAAAAAAAAAGAACCTTTAGATTGTGTTTCTAATAGCATACTAAGTGAGTTAAGTAAGACTCTTAGATAGTAAGGAAGTTATTAACCTTGAACCTTTGGTAATGAAAAATCTAAAGCTTGCAGTGGGAATAAGTACATACCTATCCATAATCACCCTAAATGTAAATGGTCTGAATGCACCAATCAAAAGACACAGAGTCACTGAATGGATAAAAAACAAGACCCATCTATATTCTGCCTACAAGACTCTCACTTTAAACCCAAAGACATACACAGACTAAAAGTGAATGGATGGAAAAAGATATTTCATGCAACTAATAGGGACAAAAAGGCAGGAGTTGCAGTACTTGTACCAGACAAAATAGACTTCAAAACAAAAAAAAGTCACAAGAGACAAAGAAGGACATTACATAATGATAAAGGGGTCAATCCAATAAGAAGATATAACCATTATAAATATCTATGCACCCAACACAGCAGCACCAACATATGTGAAACAAATATAAACAGAATTAAAAGGGGAAATAGAATGCAATGCATTCATTCTAAGAGACTTCAACACTCCACTCACTCCAAGGGACAGATCAACCAGACAAGAAAATAAGTAAGGACACAGAGGCACTGAACAACACATTAGAACAAATGGACCTAAAAGGCATCTACAGACCGCTCCACCCAAAAGCAGCAGATACACATTCTTTTCAAGTGCACATGGAACATTTTCAAGAACAGATTATACACTAGGCCACAAAAAGAGCCTTGGAAAATTAAAAAAGATTGAAATTGTACCAACTGGCTTCTCAGATCACAAAGGTATGAAACTACAAATAAATTACACCAATAAAATGAAAAATCCCCAGAACATATGGAGGCTTCACAACATGCTCCTAAATAACCAGTGAATCAATGAACAAACAAAAACAGAGATCAAGCAATATATGGAGACAAATGACAATAATTCAACACCGCAAAAATCTGTGGGACGCAGTGAAGGCCTTCCTAAGAGGAAAGTATATTGCTATCCAGGCAACCCTTAGGAAAGAAGAACAATCCCATATGAACAGTCTAAACTCACAGTTAATGAAACTAGAAAAAGAAGAATGAATCAGGCTCAATGTCAGCAGAAGAAGGGAAATAATAAAGATTAGAGCATAAAAAAATAAAATAGAGAAGAAAAAAAAGAAGCAATGAAAGCAAGAGCTGGTTCTTTGAGAAAATAAACAAAACAGATAAGCCTCTAGCCAAACTTATCAAGAAAAAAAGAGAGTCTACACACATAAACAGAATAGGAAATGAGAAATGAAAAATCAATACGGATACCACAGAAATACAAAGAATTATGAGAGAATACTATGAAAAACTATATGCTAACAAACTGGATAACCTAGAAGAAATGGACAACTTTATAGGAAAAGACAACCTTTCAAGGCTGACCCAGAAAGAAACAGAAAATCTGCATAGACGAATTACCAGCAATGAAATTGAATTTGTAATAAAAAAAACTACCTAAGAACAAAACTAGACCAGATGGCTTCACTACTGAATTTTATCAACCATTTAGTGAAGACCTAATATCCAGCCTACTTAAAGTTTTCCAAAAAGTGGAAGAGTGAAAACTCCCAAACTTATTCTATGATGCCAGCATCACTCTAATACCAAAACCATGCAAAGACACCACAAAAAAAGAAAATTACAGACCAATATCCCTGATGAACATACATGCAAGCAGAAATACTCAACAAAATATTAGCACACTAAATTCAAAAATACATCAAAAAGATCATCCATCATGATCAAGTAGGATTTATTCCAGGGATGCAAGGATGGTACAGTATTTGAAAATTCATCAACAACATCTACTACATCAACAAAAAGGACAAAATCCACATGATAATCTCTATAGATGCTAAAAAAGCATTTGACAAAATTCAACATCCATTCATGATAAAAACTCTCAACAAAATGGGTATAGAGGGCAAGTACCTCAACATAATAAAGGCCATATGTGACAATCCCAAGGCCAACATCATACTTAACAGCGAGAAGCTGAAAGCTTTTCCTCTAAGATCGGGAACAAGACAAGGATGTCCACTCTCCCCGCTTTTATTCAACATAGTACTGGAGGTCCTAGCCACAACAATCAGACAACACAAAGAAATAAAAGGCATCCAGATTGGCAAGGAAGAAGTTAAACTGTCACTGTTTGCAGATGACATGATATTGTACATAAAAAACCCTAAAGAATCCACTCCAAAACTACTAGATCTAATATCTGAATTCAGCAAAGTTGCAGGGTACAAAATTAATACATAGCAATCTGTTGCATACCTATACACTAATGATGAACAAGCAGAAGGATAAATCAGGAAAACAATTCCATTCACAGTTGCATCAGAAAGAATAAAATACCTAGGAATAAACCTAACCAAGGAAGTGAAAGACCTATATTCTGAAAACTATAAGACACTCATGAGAGAAATTAAAGAAGATACCAATAAATGGAAACACATCCTGTGCTCATGGATAGGAAGAATTAATATTGTCAAAATGGCCATCCTGCTTAAAGCAATCTACAGATTCAATGCAATTCCTATCAAAATACCAACAGCATTCTTCAGCGAACTAGAGCAAATCGTTCTATAATTCATCTGGAACCACAAAAGACCCTGAATAGCCAGAGCAATCCTGAGAAGGAAGAATAAAGTTGGGGGATTACACTTTCCAACTTCAAGCTCTTCTACAAAGACACAGTAATCAAGATAATTTGGTAGTGGCACAAGAACAGAACCATAGACCAATGGCACAGACTAGAGAGCCCAGATATAAACCCAAACATATATGGTCAATTAATATACAATAAAGGAGCGTGGACATACAGTGGGGAAATGACGGCGTCTTCAACAACTGGTGTTGGCTAAACTGGACAGCGACATTCAAGAGAACGAAACTTGATTATTGTTAAATCCCATACAGAAAAGTAAACTCGAAATGGATCAAAGACTTGAATTTAAGTCATAAAAGTATATACTCTTAGAATACAGTATGGGCAAAAATCTCCCAAACATAAACATGAGCAAGTTTTTCCTGAACACATCTCCTCAAGCAAGGGAAACAAAAGCAAAAATGAACACATGGGACTGCATCAAACTAAAAAGCTTCTGTATGGCAAAGAACACCATCAACAGAACAAAAAGGCATCCTACAGTATGGGAGAATATATTTGTAAACAATATAAGGGGTTAACATACAAAATATATAAAGAACTCACACACCTCAACACCCAAAAAGCACATAACCTGATTAAACAATGGGTGGAGGATATGAACAGACAATTCTTCAAAGAAGAAATTCAGATGGCCAACAGATACATGAAAAAATGTTCCACATCACTAATCATCAGGGAAATGCAAATTCAAATCACAATGTGATATCACCTCACACCAGTAAGTATGGTCAGCACTGAAAAGACTAAGAACAACAAATGCTGGCGAGGATGCAGAGAAAGGGGAACCTCCTACACTGCTGGTGGAATGTAAGCTAGTTCAACCATTGCGGAAAGCAATATGGAGGTTCCTCAAAAAACTAAAAATAGAAATACCATTTGACCCAGGAATCCCACTCCTTGGAATTTACCCAAAGAATACAACTTCTCATATTCAAAAAGACATATGCACCCCTATGCTTATCGCAGTACTTTTTACAATAGCCAAGATATGGAAGCAACCTAAGTGTCCATCAGTACATGAATAGATAAAGAAGATGTGGTATATATATACAATGAAATACTATTCAGCCATAAGAAAGAAATGAATCCTAGCATTTCCAACAACATGGTTGGAGTTGGAGGATATTATGCTCAGTGAGATAAGCCAGGAAGAGACAGACAAGTGCCAAATGATTTCCCCCATTTGTGGAGTATAACAACAAAGCAAAACTGAAGGAACAAAACAGCAGTTGACTCACAGACTCCAAGAAGGGACTAGAGGTTACCAAAGGGGAGGAGTGGAGGGTGGGTGGGGAGGGAGGGAGATGGGTACACTGAAGGGTATTATGTTTAGTATACATGGTGTGAGGGATCACGGGGAAAACACCGTAGCACAGAGAAGGCAAATAGTAAATCTATGGCATCTTACTACACTGATGGATAGTGACTGCAATGGGGTATGAGTTGGGACTTCATTACATGGGTAAATGTAGTAACCACATTGTTTTTTCATGTGAAACCTTCAGTAGAGTGTATATCAATAATAATACCTTAATAAAAAATTAAACAGAAAAACAAAAAACCAGTATCATGGTTTGACAAAAGGCTTATTACCCTTAAACCTGAAAGCAAGATCAGCAATTACACTGGAGATAATCTCCAGAAAAAAAACAAGAGCAGAGTCTACCAATTCTAATACCACAAGATCATTTGCCTCTTTTTAATTAATTCATTGTTAAAACCCAACATGCCATCCTCAGATGACACTAAGTATCAGGGTTGTAAACTTTCTCTTAGGATTTACAAGGAACTCTTTATTCATATACCTACCTCAGGGACTGACACATTAAACATATTCTCAATAAATGTTTACTTAATGAATGAACCAAATAATCTTATAGTCTACTTGTCATTAACAAATATACCTTCTCATTAGAGAAATCATACAAAATTCTAGGAGATAATTCTCTGGTTGAGTTTTGCCAACTCTGTGACTTTCTCAGGTATTAAAGGAAAAAAATTAAAAATAGACACAAAAAAGCTATGCAATTACAACCTACTATTATGAAAATGTACATTCCATATCAATGAGCTGGAACTTAACAGGGACTAAGAGGATAGGTATAGAAAGCATGATGATAGGAATTATCCTATCTCAGCCAATTGCTTTGTTACAGGATCCCAGAAAATTTATTGCCCTCTTCTTTTGTTATATTCCCTAGAATCATTAAGAACGTAGGCTATTTTACAAAGGCAGTTTTGATGAATTAAAAAAGAGAAAGTAACACAAGAAGCTAGAAGACCAGATTCTAAATGGGGATGTTGCAAATTAACTATAACTGGGGGGAATTAATGCCACTCTGTGGTTCTTAGTTTTCACATTGTGAGATTAAAGAACTGGACTAGGTCAGTGATTCTCAACTTTTTTTTCTTCTTGCTAACAAACCTAGGGGAATATCATGCACTGCATCATGAAAATTTTCTCAGGGGAACAGAATTTTCTTGGTGGGTGTAGGGTCATAACAGGGTAACAACGAATGTATAATGTGTGCACGTGCATGTGCATGTGTGTGTCTTGAAGGCGAGGGGAGGTTATCAGTACAATTTTTAAATGGAGAAATAAAAGACAGCCAAGTGATTTTCCTAAAGTCTCAATTTTATACCTTTGACTTCAATTTTATACTTTAAATAAGAACTTACTTAAAGCAGGAGGGGAAAGTTTCTCTTTAGAGAAGAATTCCAGGTAATAAATAAATAAGGAGTAACAGAATTAGAATAGCACCACTTTGCAACTCTTAATAAATTTATGTGATGGGTACATAGGGGTTTGTTATTCTATTATTTAACATACGTTTAAAATTTCCATGATAAAACATTTTTATACAAGTTTTACACCATGCCAAGTAAGAAAGCAGTAGTAGAGGAAGAACTGACTTGTAGTCACAAGTCCCAAGCCGAGTCCTGCCTGCTACTCTTTTGTCTATTATATCCATGAGAAAACAATGCAACTGCTTTTGAGCCTTATCTGTAAAGCAGGTAGAATACTCCTGGGCTTGACAGGAAGAGTAAATGAATTACATGTAAATAGCCCCAAAACTGTAACTCTGTGTAGCAGACCCTTAATGAAAGAGAGAAAAAGCAACTTCCTTCCTTATACTTGTCAGCCACACAGTACCTTGGGCATCTCTGGCATGCTGAATAGATTCTACAGTTTGTTTCATCACTCCGTCATCTGCAGCCACAACCAGTATGACAATGTCAGTGACCTGAGCACCTCTGGCTCTCATTGATGAGAAAGCAGCATGTCCGGGAGTATCGAGAAAGGTTATCTTCTCCCCAGAAGGCAGAGAGACTGTGGAAAGAGAAATCCAAGAACACTAAGGACTCAAATATGTATTCCTTAGTATGAAGGAATATATATGGCATTATCAAACATCACCAATAATTCTTTAAAATAATGTTATTCCTTCCAATAATCTTAATCAGAACAATACAGATCATTTTATAGTGAAAAGAATATACCAGTGAGACTTGTTGTGTAATAATTTCAAATTAAAATTCTACATATTTCTAGAATGTAACTATTTTCACAAATATACTAACTGATATTTATTTTGGAGAGAGACTAGACTGATAATTATCTAGGCAGCCACCCCTACACTGGCAAACATCAGCTGCACAACAAAGGCAATTTAATATGTATTATTGAGTCCAACAGTTTGCCATTTACTAGTTGTGTACCTTGAACAAGTGACTTCACCCAAGTCAGTCTCAGACTCCTATCTGTAATAGGAATACTAACACCTACCTTATGATGTTGCTGTGAAAATAAGAAAGATAAAGCACAAAAGGTGCTCCGCACAGTGCTGGGCACATGTTAGGTGCTCAGCAATGGTAGCTATTATTTAACTATTATTAGCAATGTTATCACAACCCAGCATTAAAACAAACTAAGAATGGGCTAGAAAAAAAGGGTAATATAATTTTCTTCTCATAGAATGTACAAAATAACCTTTATTAATCACCTGCTCTACATTTTGTCAAACCAATGGCTTTAAGCTCTAGCATTCCCTTTTACTCTGAATTTGTATATTATATACTATGACACTTGGTTTAAGAAAATGTGTGGGATTCCCAAGCACTCTGTAAGGTAATTTGTGTTCATACCAAGAAAGGCACCAATGTGCTGAGTGATGCCTCCAGCTTCCAGTGCTGCCACTTGAGTTTTTCGTAGTTTGTCAAGTAATGTCGTTTTCCCATGATCAACATGGCCCATTATAGTAACAACTGGGGACCTTGGGGTTAATAAAGCTGGATCTGCCTGGGGCCTACAATTAACAGCAAACAAGTTTCATTTCTTAAATATCAGTAACACTTTATAGCCAGTGCCCTGGTTATCAATTATCTCTGTGAACTACCACTAACAATAAAACCCAACATTCAGCTTTGATTAGATGTAACTATTCTCCTCTTTTATTTACACAGTATGACATAATATATGACTGCCCACCTATAGTTGGCATCTTCATAACAACAAGTAGAACTGAATAAAATTTTAAAATTCAGCATCAATATTCATACTCAGCAAAATAAGAAAAATAACTCTTTAAGTTTTATAACCTGAACATAACTTCTGATGCTTTAAGCACTTGGGAGATAAGTTTAACCTTAACTCACACATAATTTTAACTGCAGAAATTTTAAGTCAAATCTTTCCATTACAGTGTGAATAAAACTATGTGGCCTTTCCACAACATATGTGGTTAAGTTTTACCTTCTTACAGCATCTTTATTTTCTCTGACTTTGTCTTGTTTTAATTTGCTCCATTTTAATTTCATCCCTGTATTCTTTATCACTTCTTTGATCCAGATTTCATCCAAATGTGAGTCTGCTTCTAGTGAATCTATGTCCACAGCAGTGTTCATTAAAGCTTCATATATACAATCTGGGTGGAGTAAGATAAAAACTTTTGGATTATGGATTAAATATTCAAGAAAATGATACCTATTAATAAGTGTCTACAGAAACAGTACATTCAATGAGAGGACTAACTATATAAGCTATCTCTCTAATGTTAAGAAATCATAAAGAAGCTAAAAAGAAAATAATCTTTAAAATATGTTGAACTTATATTAACTAACATTTCTGTAAATTCACAAATATTAGAATATTTATGTACCTTATGAACCATCTAAAACATTAAATTGCATGTTGTACACATTTAGTACTGAGTAGTTTACTATAGCCTAGTTCTTTGAAAATTTGTCTTATATGTATCATGCATATACAAATGTCTATTGATATGTATGAGTTGACTCTAGTTACCCACAGTAGTTATGTTGTATAAACTCAGTGGGAATACTGAATTAGCAAATACTGAACCACTGCTCTGAGGGGAAATATAGGATTAGATTCCTTCAGCCTCTGGTTACATTTTCATCAACTGATCAATACATACTGTATTTTCTGTGTTTCTATTTAAAGACACCTTATTTAGTATACATTGTGACTCATTAACATTGAACTCATGGCCAAAAATACTGTAACTACTGTCTGAACAAAGCTCTTCTAACATGTATTTTCTCTTACACCTAACATGTAGGCACATTACAGCCTTCTTGTAGTTAGCATCACTAAATAGCACTTCAGTACTATGCTTAGGGTCAATTTTAAACAGTGAAATCAACAAAAAGCACATAAATGTGAAAAATATGGTACTAAATAAACCACAAAAATGACACTTGTTTACAGTATGAGAGCTGAAATAAGGCAGAGTATTGCTTTTCTGAACTTCAGCTAGGAATGTAGAATCAGACAACTCAAATATTTCACTGCTCTGCATATGTCAAGGAATGATTGCAAAACCACTGTTAAGTATTGATTTGGGGGCTACAAATAATTTAAAAGAATTCATCAATACAGAGTCCCCAAATAATGAGGATTGACTATATGACACCCCCCCTACTCACAACTCAGAATACACACAAACACAATTCATCTATAACCTCAAAAACATAAACAGCAAAATGCAGAAAAATAATTAGGAAGTAAAGAGTTTTGATGAGTATTTATTACATGTATTTATTACATGTTTATGATTTTATTTTTAAAAATCTTTGTGCTTAATAACCAACTCACATAATTCCTTTTACTTTAGCAATCAGGTCAGAAGGTAGTGCAAGCCAGCCCTGGTACATCATCGATCCTATGCAAAGAAACCCTTTCCTAAATATCTCCCCACTTCATCCTTTCCTAAGAAAACACATTTTAAGAATGATACAACACAAATTTTCTATATGGATATGCACTCAAAGAACAATAAAACTTTCTAAAAAATTATGAGTACAATTCTGTTTCTAATAATGCTGAAAATCCCTAATAATTCAGTAAGCAGAATTTATGAGAGGTAGCTTATTCACAGGGATTATCTTTTTCCCCCATGTTATATCTATAGAGTATTGACATACTACTTTATCTTTACCCAAGACTTAAATAGTAGTTACATGTAGAAAAATGTCCAAAGCATTTCAACTAGAAATATTACATCAATTTACTTTAATTGTACTAAAAAAAATGTACTCACATTGCTAATGCAATAGTTAAAAATATTCACCATATGAAAACTACTTTGATTCAAAAGACATGTGAGTATTAAGTAAGCTTCAAATATATAACTTTTATTTAAATTGTAACAAATCAGTTTTGGGTTTAGAGCACTGATCCATGGGATTAAATTTCTATTTTACTTATTCTATTTATTTGGTGATACAAAGGAATTATTATAGTTATGGGTGTGTGTTTGTGGTAATGCTTAAAAAACAAAGAATCCTAATCTTTTAGCAACAGATACAATAGTATTTATGGATTAAATAATATATTAATAACTTGTCACTGGCTTATGTATATGTTGTGCTTATTATTCCATTCTTGCTTTCATATGTGTATGAAAATTGCCAATAACATCTTAAAAATGAAGTCACTATTAATGTTACTTATAAAATCGTATCAATAGTTTTCTTTAGAAAAATCCCAAATTACATGGCTATATCCATTTGCTCTCTTAAAGTTTTATAGTTATAAAAGAATTATACAATCCAATTACAGTTATAAAAACACAAGACAGTGTGCTATTTTCTATTCTTTGTGAGGATGTGCTTGCACAAAGAATGGTAACACTTTCAGGTAGGAAACCCAGTAAAATTCTAGTTCTGCTGTAATTTACAAAAATGTAATTCTTGAGCGGTAATTTCATCTGTGATTAAGAACATAAGCTCTGGACCATATTCACTGGTTTCAAGTCCTGGCTCTACAACATACTAGCTGGGGAATTATTTATCCTCTCTACACCTCAGTTTCTGAACCTAGAAATGGGGATAACTTCCAGGGCTTGTGAGACTTATGTGAATTAACACAGATAAAAATACTGGTATATAGTAATAGCCCCAAAAATATGAGTTATTACTATTAATTCTTTCTTTTTTCTAAGAGTCTGCTTTACTGTTACTTTATTTTGCTACAATAATAGGCTTGTTTGCTGAATTTTAACGTCAGTTTATAATTAAAACTCATATTTTGTTCCAACAGTCCAAAATTGGCAATAAATATGTCAATGGTACAATGAAGAAATTTTAAAATGATGATGCTATATATTTATAAATAAAAATATTATTATTAAAAGTTGTAGTTATTACTATATTTTTCTGCCAGTACTACAAATATTATCAGGAGGAATAAAAAAGAAAAACCTGAAAATTATTTTTTAAAAAAGGCAAAGTTAGAAAACAGCTAAATATGATTCCTCAGTTCAAAAACATTCTTTGGACTTATGGCCCACAAAATTTCTGAGAAAGAAAAGTTAAGATAAACTTTTCCATTTTTATTAAAATCAAAATCCTAGAGAACTGTATTTGGCAAAGTGCCAACTGTATTTGGCAAACTAATTAGGATTTGTAACCTAGTGAAGAATAGTGGAATGACTTCACATCTTTTTAAACCACCAAGCTAATTTTCATCCTTGAATGCCTTAATCTCATTGCAAATAATATACCAGGTATTCTATGTTCCTGTATTTTTCCATGTAAAATTATCTGGCTCACCTAGGTCTTTTCCCATTGCTCTGGCCAGTTCCTCAACAGTCATTCCAATCCATACCTCCACTTCCTTTCTGGATTTTGTAGAAGATAACTGAGGTTTCTTTGATCTTTCTTCCTATTAAAAAATCCAGAATGCATAAAGAAAAAGGAAAAAAAAAGCTTAAGTAACAACTTAAGATTTATTTTGGAATATCTACCAATCATGGCTCCTACTTCCACCAACAAACATTCCCCTAAATAGTTAGACTAAAATTAAAAATCCTGCATCCTTAATTCACTGTTATACATTGATTTCCAAGTAAACAAATTCATTAGCATTACAGAACTAGAAATGCCCTTCCTCACAAAGATTTATTGCCTGGAGTGTAATAGTAAGGAATAACCACTTTGTAAATGACAATATACAGCTGGCCTTTGAACAATGTGGGAATTAGGGGTGCCAACTCCCTACACAACATGTGCATAACTTCTGACTCCCCAAAACTTAATAGCCTACTATTGACTGGAAGCCTAGTAACACAGTTGATTAACACACATTTTGTATGTTATATGTATTATATACTATATTCTTATGATGAAGCTAGAGAAAAATGTTTTTTCATATCGTTGCGAACTCCAAAAAATTTTACAATATATTTATTGAAAAAATATCAGCGTGTAAGTGGACGTGTGCAGTTCAAAGCCATGTTGTTCAAGGGTCCACTATACTCAAAATGGACTTCTACTCATGGTTCTAGGCACTTTTACCCTCAGACCAAATAATTCAATAACTGACAGTATCTCTAACTACCTTCTTTGTTACCAGAAGCCTATACTGAGATAAAGCAGCCCTGATGAACATGTCTGTTTGCCAGGGGCGGGCATACAGCTGAGTTGTCCACACTGGGTAAACAGATGAAAATACATGTCTCCACTGTGCTAATGTTCTTCTTTGACCCAGGCTGTGCAGCTGCCTACTGACAGTATGAAATTGTAGCAAGTTCTCCAACTTCAGTATTTTCTGGTTCATGATTCTCCTAGAAAAAAAATTTTTTAAATAATATTTTGGTTAATATTGAACTCAAGTTATCAAATGAGAATTTGCTATTACATGCAAAGCACTGTTAGAGTTATTTACAACAATAAGTAAAACTGGATTCCTGCCCTGAAAGAGTTCACAAGCTAGTCAGATGAGATTCCATACTAAGTACTCTCTAGATATTAACTATTATTACTGTTAATGTTCCTACTATGATAGAACTGAAATACAATTAACTTACAAAAGGCTCTTTTTTTCCACTCAAAAGATCAACTAACAATACCACCAATAGAGTGATTTTTCCAAAGTATAAATTTGAACTCATCAGCTCTTTACTAAACACCATCCAGCCAGCGGCCCCTTTATCCCCAGTTTAACGTACTACTTCAAAACATGATATATAAGGGCTCACTACCTACCCTTTGTTAACCTTTCACTTCATCTCTTAAACTTCTATAGACCCCTCAGTCCTACCCAAGCTTTTATTCTGACCCACCTGTAATCTGATGATTTGTCATGTTTTTTAATCTTTGAGAATGCTGCCACTATTTGCCATTGTCTTTCAACCCTCACATTTTTCCCTCTCCACTGATAGCCCCAAAAAGATGCATTAGAATAGGAAGAAGATATCCAGTACATATCTATTGAATAATGCCTTTTTAATATTGTTCTTGGAGCAGAAGAAGAGTTTATTGAGAGAAAACTGCAACAAAACGCAAGTGTATTTCCCATCTCAGTAGTATAGTTCTTTTCCTCCTTGAGTCTTCTATTACCTCTGCTGTAAAGACTGCACTTCTACAGCTCTGCTTTTCAGTTTTTAAGGGAAGAAGTAACTAAATATTGTAAAAAGTACATGTTTTCTCCTGAGCAAACAATTCCTGAGCACAATCTTACAGGTATTGTATTCAAGAATGTTTAATAAGCCAGATTCCCTTCCTTCAGAGCTTACTGCTTTATGAAGTGTTACTCCAATATAATGATTCTCAGGCACATTAAACACCTCAAGATGTCACATTTACAAAATCTTATTTAGGTATGAGTCCCTGGACTAAGAAGTAAAGAGTGCTCCGAAAGCACAAGATCCTTATGAAAAAAAAATTTTTGTTAAAGTGAGTCTAAAACCAGATTTGACAAGGACACAGATTAATGGAGAGGGAAAAAGGCCTAAATGAAATTAATCAAAGTACAAACATGTAACTGATGCAGGAATTAGAAATATACATGGGGGAGAGGGCAATAATCCAAATATCCAAATATCAAAAACTGGAAGGAACCTCACTTGCTATTTATTCCAAACTCCTTATTTTACAGAAAAGGAAAATGGGAGTCCAGAGAGGTAAGAAATACTTCTCCAATGTCATACCGCTATTTAATGACTGACAGAACTGGAACCCAGGCCTTCTGGCTCCCAATTCGGTGTTGTTTCGACGGTAGGGTATTCTTCCATGGAATCTGAAAAAGAATGTTGGAAATATGCAGCTGCATTGATAGAAACGTCTGAATGTAAGCCATGGCACTTATCTGAAAGGTAGAAAGAAGTCACTGGAGAGAAATTACAGATCTGGGGTGCCTTCGTCTGGAACCCGGACCCAGAAGCAATGGGCATAGCGGAGGTTAGAGCAGCGAGGCCCGCACCCGCCGCGGCGCTCTCGGACTGGAAGCCAGGTGACCGCTTTTGGCTGAATAACGTTTCTCTGTGCCTAAAGTAGGGTCACCAGGGGATTAAATGCACCATGGAAAGGCTTCCGAATGAGTAATGTTTATGATCTGTGCCACTGACACTTCAGGCCAAACAATTTACGCCACCCGGGAGAACCCAGCTAAGAGACCAGCTCACTTGACTCCTACACACCGCCCGCACAGTCCGGGTTCTGAGGTCGGGGAGATAATTTACCAGACCCGGAAGAACTGTTTGGCGGTCAGTCCGTGCCTGGAACGGTCCCCGCCTGGCTTCCGGTGCCACAGTGAGCGGCTCCTCCCGGAACTCAGAAGTCCTAATTCAGGATAGTGGCTGTTGCAGTGGTGGTGGGGCTTTGTGAGATACCTTGGATGGGGGTCCCAACCGGGTAGGTGCTAGTTTAACTTGTGGCTTCCCCCCGGGGTCAGCCGTGCGTCGATTATGGCTTCTGCAGGTCCCTTCCCTTTCTAGGAAGTAAAATACTGCCACTTCCCATTCTAGGAAGTAAAACACTCACCCTGGGACTGGGTCTTAAGTGCCTGCACTCAAGGGAAAGTTAAATGGGGTGTAGGGAGAAAAATCACATGTCGTTAAAAGGCACATAGCTAACAAGAAGGGAAAAAAATGCAAGGGCAGATGGCGAGAGAACCAGCCGGTACTGGGTGAGGATCGCTTTCACTAAGTGTAGTAGCATTTGAAGAGGTAAAGCCAGAATGGGTTCCAATCGCAGCTCACTCCCAATTGTTTAGACTTGGGGATTGTGTATAAACTCTCCTTGCCTCACTTCTGCAATATAGGAATGACTGTCGCTACTTCACAGAAGAGCAGAAAGGTTTGTAAGAGCACCTGGTTCCTAGTAAGTTTGCAGTTGTGATTATTACAGGCTCCTCCCAGAGCATTTCCTCATCGTGTTTGGACATTATATTCTGGGCTGCCCCCTTGACCACAACCACCCCACTTATTCTAGAGTTAAAGTATTGTTTTATCTGTGCCCTTAAGGTCTAACAGTACCCTAGAGTAATTGTAGAAGAGTTTCTTACTCGAAAGCACACTTAACTGTCATCTCCCAGTCTGGCCTCCAAACACTTGCACCCTCTCCTTTTTTATGTTTCTCTCTCCAGTGCCTACTACAAAGGTGTGCCGTCGGTATTGAATAGATGAATGGAAACCTTTGTCCGGGGAAATCTTTTTATTAACCTAACAACCACACTATTGAAAGTTCACTCCAATTGCTGTCATTTTACTTGCCATTCACAAACACACACTTAAGCAATTTCTACAATAATTTGTTTCTTGCTCTTGTATTTCCTTGCCAAGCAGGAAAATGTTAATACAAAAATATTTTACATGTCTATACTGTCAAGAATCTAAAAACAAAAATTTTAAAAAAAGCTACAACTGGGAAAACATTAGCAATATGTGATCAATTGAGGGTATAAATTGGGAGCAATTCCTTACTCTTGAAGTTTTTTCTGGGAAATGACCTTATTTCATACAATTTGGGCCTTTTTCTGCACCTTTACTCTTTCAGATTCTGAAGAGGAAATGGATTGGATTTCTAAATATGAGCTTAATTGAGCATACACTCAATTTTTCCTTGGAACCAGCTTGCCATCAGTGAACACAGCAGACAAAAATTACTGAGTTCTACTGCACTTCTTTTGTTCTAGTAGAGAAGTTTAAATTTTATCTTGTTGGTATTGTTGATATTTAATATTATCCTATATCAGCAAACAAAAGTGATCCTGGTATTGTGCCTAATCTTACAAACACTATGCAAAAGCATGTTTGCTTTTTAATAGCCTTAACTCTGGTAATCAAACAATTGCTAAATTAAGATGAGAATAGAACAGTCTAGCACTGTAAGCTGGTGAAAGTATCCTGAAAGGCAATAAGCAACAGCTATCAATTTAAATGTATAAACTGTATAACTTTGCAGGTTCTGGGGATTTTGTCTAAGGAATAAGTGAAATAGTTATGCAAAGGTGTTAGGTATTAAAAATATAGATATTTATCAAACCCTATATATAACATGGAACACATGGAAATTATTTACATGTAAGGCAATGAACATTGGACATTTCCAAATTTGGAGTTAGGTCAATAAAGGCAATGCTATATAGCGATTATAAGTAATAATGTAGATTTTGACATGGAAAGATACCTGCTAGGTGAAAAAAAAGATCATAAAATGTCATATGTTAGGTAATTCTGTCTTGATTAGATAAAATTAGAAATAAGCATGTTAGAGTATACATACTTGTTATGTGAATTGAAAATAATAAATTGACAAAAAATTCATTCAAATTACCTTGGAATAAAGACAGTTTTATTTGAGTCCAACTAAGGACTTAGCCTGGAAACATTAACTCTCCCAGGTAGGAGAAATGTTTCAAGGGGCTCAATCATATAAAGGTTTTTTTTTATCCTCAGGGAGACAGGAAAATAGAATTTCAAAGGGGCACATCCATTTTACATACGTGATGCTAAAAAAAAAAAGAGTTGGGGTCAATACACATTTTGGCACCAAAGGGTATTAAGGGTAATGGCAAACATTCTTATTTATCTTTTGTCTTTGAGCAGAAATATGGACAAAAAGTAGAACTGATATGGTGATACATGTTGTTTAGCTTTTAACTTGGTTTTCATTAACAGATGGTATTATAGAGTTAGCAAGTTTTTTTCAAGGGTGGTCATTTTGAGACTCCCAGAATTAAGGAAACTTTCAATATTTTAGTGGTTCCTAGTATGGTGATCAATTTTTCTTTATATCACATATATATCTAATGTTAAATTTTTTGTATCTTTTTGTGTGGTCTGATTTTTTTCAATAAACATGTATTTTTAAAATTTCCTGTTTAGCTTTAAACTATCTTAAAACATATATTTAAAGAAATTCATGCGACTTGTTAAAAATATTAAACAATACCTTTATACTCAGAAGAAAGAAATTTTATATTTTGGAGAAATATGGAATATGAGTTTGTTTCCGACTGAACTGGCCCTTTATCTTACATCCAATAGTTTTCAAAAATGTATTTATTAACATTTACTCAAATCATTTACCATACATAAATAGGTAAATTATGGCTAGAGGAATATTTTATTTCTGGTCTCAATATTATACTTTTATTAAAGCTTATGCAAATATATTCCACTTGCAAATTAATTTCATACATGAAAATCATAGGACATTTCTCATACTAGGGACCACCAAGAAGACTTAAGACTAGGACAGCATAGTTCCCATAAATCTAATCCAGTTAAACTAATTATTCTGAAATGCTAGACTTAAAATATCCCTAGTATATATGCAAAGTAGGAAAAAAATAATCTATATTATAGTACTTTTGTATAGAAGTCAATTCTCTTGGATTGCTGTGAGAACTACCGACAGACCATGTAATAACACTGGATAAAAGGCTCGACTCATTAATTTAGTGGTCCAGGGTTCCCTAGTTCCAGAAAGTTAAGACTGGTTTAAAGAGCAGCTCAGAGCATGCCTTACTGGCCCGGCTTCCCTCTGCAAGGGTTCCTGAATTACAATAATTGCTCCTCCACCCTATGCAGGGTCAGGAGACCCCAATTCCTCACCAGATGTTTACTGCATAGTCCTGGGCTTTCAGCAGCACCTGAAAACAGTTCCTTGTCCAAAATAAAGCTTCCTTATCACCATGCAATTTTAAATGAACGTTTAAAGTGAATGAATGTGAGGGACACATACTACTTTTCTGTTTAACCAAGCTGTCTTTTATTTGTATGGTATGAAACCCCTATTTTCCCAATCAAGAAAATAATGTGTTCACCCATTTTGTACTGTAATTTGGAGGTAATTAAATTCAGTCTATCCACTTTAACATCTTAGCCTTCTTCTCTTTTGAAGTCTTCATTGAAAATACTCTCATATGATCTGTCTTAGTTGTGGAGACTTGGTCTACATTTCCTTATATTTGTTTAGTAACATTTAAAAAATCTTTTTCAGACTCGGCTTACATTATTTTTTTATTGAAGTATAGTTGACGTACAATATTATATTGGTTTCAGCACTCTTCTCACCTCTTCTTGTCGTAGTTCCTACTCATTTTTCAGATCTCAGTTTAAGTTTCAAAGGGTCCTTCCTTGACCCACTCTGCCTTCCCCTAAACTAAGTGAGATGCCCCTATTATGGGCTCTGATAACACTTGCCTCCCAGGCAATTTAATGTTTGTTACTGTGATTATTTGACTAATATCAGTCTTCTTCAATATACTGCTCCACAAGGACAGAGTCTGTCTGATTTTGCTCACCACTATGCCTTCAGCACTTAGCTGATCTTCAATCATATTTTATTGAACTGAAGTGAATTGAACATGGCCTATGTCTCCATGTACTGGAGATGGAAGGAAAGTGAACCTGTTACTGAGATTTCCTTCCTTCTCCATGGAATCATGCAGGAACCTGAGACTCAGGAAGACCAAGGAACTGGGCTGTGGGTTATGGGCTTTGTCATGGCTCCTCAATGAGCAGTGATGCTCAGAGGATCCTTGTGCTTCATCTGCTTTGGCAGGGCTGCCCCAGGTGGACTGCCTTCTACTGACAGCAAGTTCCCGTCTCACTATCCACTGGAGGGACAAAGTGCCAAAAAGAGAGTATTGGAAGTTGGAAGAGTACCCTCCCATCTTCCAACCCCAGTCCTCACCCTCTCTTCTGACTCTTATCCACCTGCTTTCTTCTCCCTTATTCAAGGTACTAACCTCCATTGTTTCCCATCCTGGGATAAACTCTTCCATGGGCCATTGAAACCAGTTCTCATGGGATGGGGTTAGGGAAAGATAATGCTATTAGTCATCATTGCTTTTAATTTACTCATTCTATTAGCATGGTTTGTGTATTTGAAGCAGAATTGGGACTGTATTGTCTGCACTCTTCTGTAATTCATATTCCCCATATACTAAGTTATATTTTCCTGTATCCTAAAATATTGAGAGTATGATTGAGAATAGTGAATTCCCTTGGAAGACGTCACCTAATTTATTCAACATACCCCCTTATGGTGGAATATTCCTCGTTCCTTAGCTTAGCAGGTGAGTTTCTTTGTGCCTTGATCTAACTTTGCCTCCTGGTGACAGGCCTCTTATTCTGTTCCATCATCACACCAAATCATAGTACCCTGG